TAACCAACTCAAATCCTTCAAAATTAAAACACTACTTAATGAATTACCTACTTATTTTCTTCATCACAAACTTTACCCTTCAATTTTTAATAATACTAATTGTTTTCATTATAAAACACCAGACTCATCATCACATTGGTGTATCTGTACTAGTCTTACTTTACTTAATAGTATTATCTCTACTACTATTAACAATTACTTTACATCACCTGAGCTAGACCTCTCTTTGTCTCAAATAGATGAACTTATCTATAAAATCCAAAATTATAAAGCATTCAGTTTTATAGCATTACAACCCTCTTCTCACTACTTAGAACTTATATTTAAAAGACTAATCACTAATTCAATTATTCAAACATTACAAGATTTTAATATTCTTTACAAACTAGCCTTAAACAGTATTATCGAACTTCTACTTAAAATTAATAAACAAATATATGATCAAATTTGGAAACTATACTGTATTAATTTTTTTAACTGAAGAAAACACTATGAACTAACTTATCTCTATATTTCACATACTAATACATCATTAAATTCTAATAATCGCAACCTTACTCATAGAAATCATACATACTCTTCCTATGTAGACTACCAGATCATCTGCACTCTGATTCAGGCACTTGCCTATTAGCCGATCAGGCTAATAAGAAAATTAGCATCTGGTCTAAATACTGGATAAACTACAGCACTTCATTAAACTATATTCCAACTATTATAATCTAGATGAGTCTTTAACCACTCTAGTAGATTTAGGTTACAAATAAATTATCTGAGCTTTTATTCTTGCATTTAATTTTAGTTTTACTTATATTTATATAAGTAGTAGTATTTCTATATAGTATTATTATTATGTAGTTACTATTTTCAAAATTACTTAATAAAGATATAAGCAAGATCTCATCTTAATACCAAAAAAAAAGTATTATATTATCTTATTTGTCTGTTTTTATCTTTTTTTTTTTATTTTTTTTTTTATTTTTTTATTTTAAATTTGCTGTATACAGAATAAGATTAGTTACAGATTGTAAGATGATATTAATTTAAACTATCTATTATATCTTGTATAACTACCTAAGTGTAGCAAATCACCTTTTAATTTTCTATTTAAAAACAAATTTAAGTTAAACTACCATTAGTTATAGGAGGGGAAAGAGAAGGCCCAGAAATAGGTATAGAGTTAATATAAATATAAATAAATAGAGAAGTTTTGTAAGTGCTATTTTTGAATAAATGAATCAATATTATAATTATAAGTTGTTGTTGTAGAATTTTTAGTAGTAATATTGGATAAGGAGAATTTAATATGTTTAAATTTAGATGTAATATTTCTTGAGATTTCCCAGTCATATTGAAATTGGTTTCTAATTTGCCAGATATTTGAGTTGAACCAAATAAAAAGATTATTAGATAAGTTGAAGCAAAAGGTGATAGTATTCTTATTGAGAATTGGTTGTAGTTAGTCTAAAACATTGTAAGAGATAGTTCCTTGAATAAGAAAGAGAATGTTTTGAGAAGGAATATTTTAAGTATTTGTATTGAGTAATATGTTGGTAATTGTTGAAATATTTGTATTTTCAATTTTGAGTTCTGTTATTGTTTGTGTTATATATTAGTTAAGTATTTGATGAGGATTTAGTGGTGCTTGAGAACAGTTTAGCAAGTGTGAGGTATCTTCATGTTGATTATATCTAATACAATTAGAAGTTAGATAAAGGTGAGGATAATGAAGGTAAAGATTAGACATTGTAGGTAAATTGTTTAATAATATTTTTATGCATAAAGAGAAGAGATTGAGTTTATAATTGTAGAAGTTTAAAATAGCTATAAAAGTTTTAATGTTAAATTGAGAGATATCACAGATATTTTTAAGTTGAAAAAATTTATTAAAAGTTTTGATAAAAAATAGGTTTTTGATAAATTTGCAAGTTTGTGAAGTGAGTAGAATATAGTATCATGAAAAGAAAGTAAAAGTTAAAAGGTAGTTTAGATTAAATTCAATTGTTGATCTGTTTGCACCTCTTTTAGCAAGAATATCAGTATTTCGATTTAGAGCATTTTTTGAGTATGCTTTAACTTTGTGTACGGTAAAAGATATATTTTTCTTTTGGAGAAGATTGTTAATGATATGTAAATAGTCACAGTTTTCAGTTTTAATTTGTATTTGGTGATAATATGATAGTTTTCTAAGAGTTTGAATTGTTGAAGAGTTGTTGCAATGAATATGAATATGTAGATTTTGTGGTATTGAAAGAAGTATGAAAATAATTGGTGCTAATTCAGCTCTTGTAGTATTAATTTTGGTATTGTTTTCTAAAATCCAACCAATACCAGTTTTGAGATTAGCTGATTGTATATTTTTAATTGAAGCATCAATATAGAAGTGAAGATTTTCTAATAGGCTTAGTGAAATTTGTTAGTAAATATTAATAAGTTCTGTTTAGTATACTGAAGTAGTAATAGAGTTAGTAATTTGTTCAATATTTGAATTTTGTATTTGAATATAAATGTTTTCTAGAGTAGTGGGTTGATATAGAGAAGTGGAGATTTGTACTAGTGATAATATTTTTTAGTAGTCAATAGAAAGTTTGTAGAATTGGTTTTCTTTTTGACTTTTGCAAAGGAAGTTAATAGTAGAAGAAAAAGGAGTTGTAGATATTTGTGAGGAAGGTTGGAGAATAATAGTTCCTAGTGTTTTTTGGAGAATAGAATATTTTTCAAAGAGAAAGTTATTCTGCATAGTAGAAATAATCTTTCCTATTTGAAAATTGGGTATATTAATAAGAATTGTTTAGTTGTTTTTTTTAGAAATTGTAGTTGGTAATAAAATTAATGTAAGAGTATTAATATAGGAATTAATATTTTCTAATTGAATTGATAGCCAAATTGAGGATATAGTATTATTAGTTGTGAGATTTTTTATATATTTATATCATGAGGGAATTGGACTTTGAGGAGATTTGTATATTCTAAGGTAAATATTATTCTAAGGTAAAAGGTATTGATTATTAGATGTAAGAAGTTGTTCAATATAAAGGATATAGTTGTTTTTAAGACTTTGAATAGTTGAAAGCTTAGGATTTGAAGGGATGAAGTTGTAAATTGAATTTAATTTGTAATTATTTAGAGGGTTGTTTGTATTATTAATTAGATTATTAATATTAATATTGTATTGAGCAATGTAGATTAAGAGAAAAAGATTAGTGAAGTTTGACATTTTTTGTTTATGTTGCTGAATTATATCTGTAGAAATTGTTGGTTGCCAGATTTTATAAAGCCATTCTTTAATTCGGAGTTCAAATATTTGTTTTAAAAGAGGAGATGAATTAATAGTTTTTTCGATAATGCTACAACTAGTATAGATAAGAAGTTTGTGAAAGGTTGGAATATTAAGGAGTTGAGGGTTTGTAAGAATGTCATTGTTGGTATTAAGTGAGAATTTAAGAGTTCTTTTTATTTGTTTGGTAATAGAGCTAGAGAGTTGAGTAATTTTTTGATTTGTAAGAGAGGTAACTTGTAGAAGATATTCTAAGAATAGTGCAAGGATAGTATTAAAAAGTCAGAATATTTGGATAGGTAGAAGTTTTTTATATTGTCTGATTTTAATGAAATTATCTGTTTTGTTTAATATTTTATCAATTGTAGGTTGAGTGGAACCTGCGCCATCAAAGTAGATACCAAGATATCTGATGGTATTAGTTGGTTTTTTTGCTTTGATAGTTTCATTATTGAAGATGATTTCAGATGGAGGTTCCTGACTTAAGGTTTTAGAGTGGGGTTTAAGATGAAGGAGGTCAGATTTTGATGGATTGACTTGTATATTATTAATTTTGTAGAGCTGTTCAACATCTTTTAGTAGACATTATAAGTCGTGTTTGGTTTCATAGTGCTATACAGTATCATCCATATATGCGAGTGGTGGAATTATAGTTTGTGTATATTGAATATTATGAACTTGTTCAGTAGGAGATAGTGTTTTAATTTTAAGGAAAGTGTTTTGGTATTTGGTATTGATAAATGATAAAATAGGGTCATAATAAATTTTCTAGAGGAGAGGTGAGTATGTTTCTTCTTGTTCAATCCCTGAATAGATTGTAATTGGGTCTGTTAGTCCATATGCTATAATAATTTGAGCTTTCTGATCATGATGTAAATTTGCAATAAAGTTTATGCCATTTTGAGGTATGCCTATTCTTTTGCAGGCTTGAATAAGTCATTGGATATTGATTTTGTCAAACACTTTAGACATATCTTGAAAGAGTATTCAAGCATCTTTTTGGTTATGTTTGTAATGTTCTATAGTTAGGGATAGGAACGGCTTATAATAAGCCAGCTTAATTACAGCTTTTAAGCTGAGCTGAGCCAAGTTAATAAAGCCAGCTCAAGCTGATCTTATTATTAAATAAATATATTTATATTATTTTTATTATTATAATAGTTTATAAGAATTTTTTATAGTAAATTACTATAGAAATAATATTTATTTTAATACAAAACTAATATAACTATATTAAAATAATTTGTATAATTACTCTTAAGTACCTTAATTAATAAATCAAAAAAGTTATATAAAATATTACATAAATAAAAAATAATTAATCTTTTTTATATATCCCAATATTATTTTCCATCCAACTTTTTAAACAAAGTAATGCACGAGCAATATCAGGATTAAGTCAATTGCGAAGTTTTGAAAGTGTTATTGAGGCAGTAAAAAACACTTCTTCACAAGGAACACTAGATTCTTGAATTGCAAGATAATCTTGTGCTATTCTAGAAAGTGTTAGAAATCTATGTTTATTATCATCCCACCATTGTAAAGAATTATTATTAATAGTTGATATAGATAAATATTTTTCTAACTCCTTTGTTAATAGTAGTGTTTTAATTGTTTGCTGCATTATTAATGATATAAATTTTTTTCGTTTATCATCAAATATTAAGCTAGAAGTATTAGAAGTATCACTTGCTGGTATTGATTTATATTGATCAATTATATTTCACAGACTAGCAAGAATAATATTTTTTTCATCATTAAGCTGAAATGTTAATAGCTTTGATGTTAGGTCAAGAATTGAAGCTATTTTTGTTGTTTCATTAACATCAAGAATAGACCAATATTTATTTAATTTTTTTTTAATTAATTCTGCTATTAAACATTCAGCTTCTAAATGTGAATTATAAGCTTTAAATTGATCAATATGAATAAATAACCCTATAAAAGTTAAACGAACATCAGAAATACTTGGATATAAACTTTTAGAAAGAATTTCTGTTGCATCATGCATTGGTCCTAGCAAATAAATTATATTATTGATAATTTTCCACTCTTTTTCATTAGGGTAAGTATTTTTAAGTTCCTGATATGCAGTTGTAAGAAGATTAAGTTCATCATGCATCTTTTTAAATTGACAAAGCATATGATAAGTACTATTCCAATGTGTAACTATATCAGCAATTAATTTGCTATATGGTTTTTGTTTATTCTACAAAAGTTTTAAAGTTTGTCATATAAGACTGTTGATTTTTGAACCTTATTTACAAACTGCCGAACCTTGCCAATTACTCTATGTTGAAGTTCTATACCACTTTTTACAGCAATATTAAGTATATGAGCTGCACAACGATGATGACTAAATCTGAACTCATGCTGTTTTTGTTTTATTAGATTTCTACATAAAACCATTGCAGATGTATTATCTGTTGTTAGTGAGATTATCTTGTTATTAATACCCATCTCTTCACAAATATTATTAAGCTTTTCTTTTATATATATTGCAGTATGATGATATTCAAAGGGAATAAGATCAAGTAAAAAATGACACATTTTCCATTTGTTATCAATATAATGTATAGTAATACCCAGATAAGCTTGATTTGATATTGATGTCCAAATATCAGTAGTAAGTGCAACTTTGACATTAAGAGCTTTAAGTTCTTGTGCAACAAGTATACGACATGATTCAAATTGAGATAATGTCATTTTTTTATATATTTACTTGAAGGTAACTGATATCTTGAATCATATATATTTACTGAATTATGAAACCAAGGGTTTTCAACAAATGAAAATGGAAGTTGTGCACCAATTATAAGATCGAATATAGCTTTAAAACATTGCTTTTTCCATTGAGTATCATTTCTACCATAGGGTCTTTGAAGTAAAGATAGCTGATTAGTTTTTAAAATAAGTATAATATCATGTTTATTTTTAAGATGAGTATTAAGAACACTAGTGGCTATTGTTGAACTATATCTTTGTCTGCATTTTTTACATATTCTTGCAACAATTTTGCCTTCAACATTGTCTTCATCAAAGTAATCCCATACAGGTGATTTTCTAATAAGTCTATTATTATTTGTAACAATATTAGTGACCTCATTTTCTACACCTTCCATATTTTCTACATTATCTGTATTATCTATATCATTATTATCTATACTAATTGCCTCATCTATATCTTCCATTTCTTCATCTATATTATTTATATCTTTTGAATCTTTTATATCTTCTATATTATTGAAAATATCAAGTTTTATTTTCTTCATAAGCACTATAATCAAATTCATCGGCATTGAACATTCTTAAAATTATTTTTTAATTATTATTATATAGTTTTTAGTAAGGTTCTATATTTAGTAAAAGGTATATTAATTGATAGCAAACCTTGTAAAAAAGTAGAAAATAACAATTAAGTTAGTGAAATGAAAGATAAAACAACTACTCTAGGATTTCTAATAAAATTTTTTGATCATGTAATAATTTAAAAAAGATTAAACAATAAAAAATCTTGATTTGGTATATTGTTATATGATCAAAAAATTTTAAAACAAATATCACAATCTTTTATATATTAACAAAAAATTTTTCAAGTAATTTTACTATTATATTTTGCCTTGTAGAATATTTCTGATTAACTGTATCCTTGATTTATATTAGATATGTTACTAGGTTTAAAACCTGTATTTTTAGTATAAGACTCAGTATAATAAACAGAGATTTTTATATATGTAATATATAAAAACATATTGTTTTTATAATATAATTCTTACACAAAACCTCTATATAGTATACTTTCTGCTATACAGTATATCCAGAAGCATAAATCAAGAAAAATTGGTTTAGATAGTAAGAGATTCTGGGTACTTCCTATACCAAAATATACCATATTCTCTTTAATATTTAACCTTAATTTAAACACTTACTCTAACATAAACAAATTTAACCAATTTTATCAATTATCACATAATCAAAAAATTGTTGATAATACTGGAAAGAGTCTGGTCAATTGTGTTATTACATGATATGTTCATTTCATCTATCTTACCCAGGATTACAACACAATTCTGCAGTCATGTGATTATTGATAAAATCCTTTAAAGCTTATTTAGGTTTGGATTAGGGTTTATTTTAGGGCTAGAGTTTAGTGGTTTTAAGAGTAAAATCGTCCAAGAATATCTTTTTGTTAATGCAAAAAGGTGGTTACCTATGCAGAATTTTGAGTTATAGGCGATGTTTGACAAAGCGAACGTTTGTTTTGATCATGCAACATTACACCTGATCTTGAAATCTGATATGTTTAAAATTACGACCTGCAAAAATTTGTTGGCGATCCTAGAGTAATTCTGTTATTTGCCATTATAGGTTTACATGCAATATAATTTTTTTAAAAAAAAAAATTATATATATAACTATAGCACTATAAAATAAATCCCTTTATTATTTATCAAAGATTTATAAAACAAATACCAAACTATATAATGTAAAATATTTTAAGTATATAAATCTGGATTTCGTACTGCTAATATCACTAATAAGCTTGTTTTGTCTCAAAAATTTAAAATTTAAGTTAAATATTGATAGC